ATATTATATATAATAAAATATATTATATTATTTTATGTAATATAAGATATATATATATATTAAAAATAAATATAAAATACAGTATATCATGTATTATAGTATGTTATAAATATTATATATTTCTATTTAAATTATTATCTATGTAAATATAAATATAATATATTTACCATATATCTCAAGAGTTATCAAACATAGAAACTATAAACTTCTTAACTTTCCAAGGGAGGTTATCAAACACATAAACCATTAACTTCTTAAGGAACTTCTAATTTACAGTTCTTCAGTAACTCCAATTTCCAGTTCATGTTCTTGCTTCTTATTATCAAACACGTCCTAAAAGATAAAAAAAATGGCAGTTTTAAGGTGGGGTGAGGTTTCTACAAAGTGTCAACCTTATACTATTGAAGTAGGGTGCACCTCAAAGCTATGCTGAAAATGCAGTGTTGGTATCGCAAAGCCTTGCGATTGATATGAAATCTATTGTTGCCCCCAATTATGAAATTTAAAGTTTCATAAATGGTGACGATCAAGCAAATCTATAAACGCTTGAAAGTGGACGGTCCATATAATGTGTTAGAAGATGAACTATTTTTAGGACCGGAAATCCCAATTTTTTATGTCTATGAATCTCAAAGTCGAGATGATCGATTTGAGGGATTTCCAGCACAAGAACAACCTTCTCTAGTGGGTCTTTTAGGTGTACCTTACTTTTATAATATAAAATTAACACCTTATATGAACCTGTTCCTTCAAAGTTCGATAGTCCCTCCCTTAAAGACAAAATAAAATTAACACCTTATATGAAACTTTTCCTTCAAAATTCGATAGTGCCTAGCTAAAAGACAAAAAAAATGGTGGTTTTAAGGTGTTTCTTTTTCAACTTCCTAGCCGTCCTAAGGCGTTTTTTTTTCAACTTCCTTCCTTGCTTGGTGGCATAGTGTTTATTTATTTATTAGTTATTATTATCATTATTATTATTTTAACCTCTAATAACAATATTTGAATCAAGCATTTTATCCGCCCTTGGGCAGACCTCTAAAGTGCGCCCTCTTTATTTTGAGGGCCTTAAAGGCCTTAAGAGGCACTTAATTCACCTTAAATTTGGGGCGCACCTTGTTCTAGCCATGATGGAGGTCAAGTAAAATATTTGAAATAAAACTGGTTTTTGAACTCGAGGAATATAGGCTGTCCATCTCATAAGTGACTACATCTAGTCTTCTAAGAACTTGAAATTGGTTTCTTGTTTTCTTAAATTTGTTCATTTGGTGATAGTGAGGTATACAAAAGGGATTGTATCTTATGAGACCATTAATCTTTAGTATAAAGATGTCACAATTATTTCAAGTCATTAGATATCAAATTGGATGTATTGGGGAGTGCTATGAAGTTCAAATATATATTTTTTTAAAACTTAAAGTTTGGTAAATAACACATATCTATACGCACCATAGCATGACCGCGGACGCGATTGTGAGCTTGAAATAGGCCCAAAGCCCAGAAAACGCCCGCCACGAGAACCCGGTCCATGTCTCCTTGCACTTGTTAGAGAAGACAATGTAGAACCAGGTGAGGAGCACAAGCACCCACCATGAGAAGCTCAGTGTAAGGGCTGCCCCTAACAGCCCCCAACTTAGGACATAGACCACAACCCAGGTCAGGAGCACATGGAGCACAAATGTCCCTACGGCCATGTAGGCTAAGGGGTTCACCACATTTTGAGCCTGTAAGAATCTTTGCAGGGGACAGTTCAGAGCAAATGCAAAGAGCTGAGGGATGAGACCTCTAGCAAATATCTGGCCTTGAGCTGCAATGTCCTCTGTTTGGCCTATGGCTATCAACACGGGCCCAGAGAACCAGTAGACGAACGAGAGCACGAAGGAGGTCAGGAGCATGATGATCATGGCCTTTTGGCATATGATCCCCATCATGCTATATTTTTTCGCTCCGTAAGCTTGCCCACATACTGTTTGTACAGCACTTGCCATGCCCAACTGTTTTTTTTTTTCAAAGAATGCCGCAGTTAGAGCCATAATTGAGTTTTAATACCAATTTCTTCAAAATTAAGAAGATTTCTACTGATTTTTGTGGATTTTGGAAACTTGAATAATGTTCACCTATAATTTCAAAATTTAGGTAAATTTATCAAAATACACTTAAGAACTATTTAACGATTTACTCATTTTTCAATTATTCCAACTCATAATTATGTATGTTCTGATAATGATGTGCTCTTTGGAATTAAACACAAATGGGAAGTGTTAAATAGTTAATCTTTCAGTTGCATTTTGATAAATTTCTCAAAATTTATTGATTTATTTGAAAACAACAAAGGGGAAGAGCCCGACCAAGTAGGGCTGGAACATAGTCCCTTGCCTAGGCCTGGTCATAGCTGGCCCTGAAAGATTAACTATAAAATCTTAGGCCTGTTCATGGCTGGCCCGAAGGATTAACTATAAAATCTTTGGCCCGGTCATGGCTGCCCTGTAGAAACTCAAATAATTCTTTACAGGTCGATACTAAATTGTCCGATTAATTGAATTAATGGAACTTGAATGTCGTCTGAATTAGCATAGGTCATTTAAATACCTGATAAATTGAATTTATTTTTATTTTATCGCTATAAGGTTTATTGCTGATAGCAATGATAAATTGAATTTATTTTTATTTTATCGCTATAAGGTTTATTGCTGATAGCAATTTTGTAATGTTATGACAAATTTAATTCATCACAATATGACCCTAAAAACTAGGGCTTGGGCCACAAAATGCAGCCTGAGGGCTGAGCAGGGCTGGGCAGGGCCGGGTGGGGTTTGGGCTAAGGCCAGCCCGGTCCGACCTGGCCTGGTCCGGCCCTCTTTTTTGTTAATTTTTCCTTTCAGGCCCTGATAGAGTAGGGTAGGGCCTGGGGCATGGCATCTTTGGCCCGTTAGGGCTGGGGCAAGCCCAATTTGGTCCTATGGGGACTAGGGCTGGCCTGGCCTGGCCCAAGCCAGGCCTGTTGCCGGCCCTAATTATAAGGCTCTGCATTAGTATCACAATAAAAAAATAGATAAAAATTGACTAATTACCTAATTTTAAAAAGAGAAGGAAGATAATGAGTGAAAACATCACACTACCATGATCCCATAGGCAAGACCCTGGATCCCAACACTAGCAATGGAGGCACCAGCAAGCTCAAGTTCACCAAGTTGGCCAGTGAACATTTGAGAGACAACACTTAGCATGAAATTGAAGAGAGAGACTACAATAGATGGACCTGAGAGAATCCACAAGGACTTGGACTCCATCCACGCTGCCTTCCCGAGCTGAACCCACGTGAGCTGATGGCTCGATAATAGGTCCTCGAGTCGGTCTGTGTCCAAAACGCCATGAGATAGTAATGGCTCAGCTTGATCACCCATTGAAGACTGAGCTTGGACCTCCTTAGAAGCCCTCTCGATGCCTCTCTAGTGCTGTGCTCAAATGGGTTAAGGTCTGGTTCACAGCAACTTATGAATTGCTTCACAACTAACTACCTTTAGAAAATCCCTCAGACATCTACTTACTTGGACTTTGTGTTCATACCAAACATTCAAGGGGTGGACATCAACTACCATGTGATCTACAAGTCATTAAAATAATCCATTTTGTTTTTCAGATGGGTGCTCTTTACTTTTCTTTTTTTTTGTGAGATTGTTTTATAGATTGTTGTCTTTTTTTTTTTTTTCTTTTCTTTTTTGAGAAAATTATTTTATAGATGGGTGCTTTGTTATTATTATTGAGAAAATCATTTTTTAGATGGGTTCTACTTTTTTCTTTTTTTTTTGAGAAAATTTATTTCTTGATGGGTGCTATAAAAAGAAAAAAAAAAGAGTAAATAATGCGGCGCCTTCAAATTAATAGGGTTAAATTTGATAGGGAAAATTCCAACTAGAGAATCTCGACCGTCCATTCACGATTCCCGCGTCCTGGAGAATCTTGACCGTCCATTCAAAGTTTCCTGCTTCATGGAAACCCGGACTTTAAAACTGGGGCTCCAACTAAAATGTTAGCTGTGAGTTTTGGTTGACACAAGTTGCCCCTGTGTTTACACAAATGACTCCCTTAGCCAACATAATAAAACATGCCATGGTTATTCAACTAACATACAGCCAAATAAAAGTACGCCTGCATTTGAAAATGGCAAAAAGATCTCATTCCTTGTAGGGAGGATATTGTCCATGTAGGGTTAGGACCTCATTTTTTATAAGATGTAAACTCTTCATCCAGATGAGAACTCAATTAAAAATTTTCCAAAAGAAAAAGTTTGTATAATGTGTCAATCTTACACCATGGAAGTAATATGCACCTTAAAAGCCGAACGGAAAAATTTATTCTAATGTTAAAAAACCTTTAAATTGATCATCTCGACATCAAGGTGTCATGCAGGAAAAGAGTGTACGTTGTGATGCATTATCCTCCATTAATTGTTTATAGATCTAATAGATTGGAACTATTTCTAGAGCGTTAAATTTCATAATTAAAGCCGAGAATATGTTTTATTCCACCGGCTTTCTAGTACCCAAATTACATCTTTTGGTATAGTTTTGAAGTACGCATTACTTTGACCATTTGAGGTTTGATTCTTTATACAAACCTCACCCGTTTCTAAATTGCATTCTCTATGGGCTTGAAATAAATAATGTTTCAAGAGTGAACAGAGACGCTTTAATTTTTGAAGGGTGAGATCAAGTGTAGAAAACTAAAAATCTAAATTTTTTTGGTGAAAAATCAAAAAGTTTACATAAAATTATAGCATTGTAGAAATAATCAATTTTATTTAGACGACATGGATTTGATAATATCTTAAGAGATTGCTCATATTTTTTATATTGTTTTAAAAGACATGTTAAATCTTTATTTTCTAACTAAATAAATAGTCTAAAACATTGCAACCTTCTTTTTACAAATAGAGATGGTACACTACATAAACAACACTATGAAAAGAATCCTACCATGAAAAAAATCCGGAGGTATTTTTAGGCAGCTCGAGCAGAAATTTCTCAGGTAAGTCTTCTAACCAAAGGAGTAAATGTACAGTATACTCCCTTGAGAACATAATATAAACGCATGCTCCCGTGAGCAACAGCGCTGCAATGTGTAAGTCATGGACTTAACTCGGGACCTTGTAGGACACAAACCTAACTCTGGATCTTGTAGGGTACAGGTTAACTGGACCCTGACCCGACCCTTTCATAGGGTTTGCAATCCCTTGAAGAGTCCATGAATCTAGGACAACCAATCTAAATTTTAGAGACGGTTATATAAATGATTATGGGTATTTCCACTTACTAACCCGGAGGAAATTTCACTGTTTCAAGGCATTACCTCCTCTCAATTACTCCACCTCTGCTAAAATAGGGAAGATCACTCTAAAACTAGCTAAGCTCTCACATGGTAGGCTCATAGAAGAGAGACTCACCTCCCTCTTGCAAAGATGTAGCACCCTTAAGCAACTCTACCAGATTCATGCCCAAATTTTCACTCAAAATCTCTCTCAGAATTGCTTCTTACCCCCGAAAATCGTCGCCTTTTGTGCCATTAAACATAGCATGGATTACGCACGTCAGTTCTTCGACAAAATGCTTCAACCAAATGTGGTCCTCTATAACACCATGTTCAAAGGATATGTAGAGAATGGATTTTTCTTAGAAACACTAGAGTTGTACAAATGCATGCATTCTAGAGATGTTGGACCTAATAATTTCACCTTCCCTTTCGTTCTGAGAGCCTGTGCTAAATTATTGGCCATTAAAGAAGGAGAATGGATTCATTGTATAATTGTTAAGACCGGGCTCGAAGATAACATATTTGTGGGCACAACATTGATTGATATGTACTCAAATTGTGGAAGGATTATCTCGGCTCATTGGGTGTTTGATCAAATGCCTCAAAGAAATGTGGTTTCTTGGACCGCAATTATACAGGGCAATATACTTTCTAATGATTTGGTATCTGCTCGTTACCTTTACGATATTGCGCCCGAGAATGATGTGATCTCTTCAAATGTCATGGTTGCGGGTTATGCGAAAGTGGGGGACATGTGTGCGGCTCGAGAGCTTTTTGATTCAATGGGGGAGAGAGATGTAATTTCTTGGAACACACTTTTGGTGGGTTATGTTGAAAATGGAGATTTGGGGTCAGCTTTAAAGGTTTTCGGAGAGATGAATGAGAGGAATGTGTTTTCTTGGAGCACTATACTTGGGGGCTATGCACATGGTGGTTTTCACTGTGAGGTTCTGGATATGTTTAGAGAGATGCTGAGGTTGAATACAAAGCCTAACGATGCGACTCTGGTGATTGTATTGTCAGCTTCTGCTAGATTAGGGGCTCTGGAGATGGGTGAATGGATCTTTAATTATGCTAACAATAATGGATTTAAGGGAAACTTACTCATTTCTAATGGATTGATCGATATGTATGCAAAGTGTGGGTGTATAGAGAAAGCGGTTTGTGTGTTCGAGGAGATGAGAGAGAGAGACTTGGTCACTTGGAATGTTATGATCGGTGGGCTCGCAATGCATGGCCATGGACTGCAAGCATTAGCAATCTTTAGAAGGATGAGAGAGGAGAGAGAAAGACTGGATGGCATAACCTTTGTCGGGATCTTATGTGCATGTACACATGCCGGTTTGGTTGATGAAGGCTCTAGACACTTCCATTCTATGACCCATGACTACCATATTACACCTACAATTGAGCATTATGGATGTATGGTTGATCTTTTGGGCCGAGCCGGAAGGCTTGAAGAGGCACTGGAGTTGATAAAAGGGATGCCTATTGAAGTGGATAATGTAGTTTGGAGCTCATTACTTGGAGCTTGTCGTACATTTGGTAATGTCATTGTTGCTGAATATGCTATAGAGCAACTTATTAAGATAGAGCCTACAAACCCTGCAAATTACGTGTTGCTATCTAACATTTATGCAGCGGCAGGGAGGTGGAAAGAGGCGGCAAGAATGAAGGTGGTGATGAGAGAGAGAGGGATTCAAAAGATACCAGGGTGGAGTTCAACTGAGGTGAGTGGTCGTGTTGCTAAGTTTTACTCTTCAGACAAGAGGAACTCAAGATCAATTGAGATCTTTGAAGTGTTAAGTGGGTTAACAGAGTCATTGAAGTCTATAGGATATGATCCAAAGATTGATATTCTCCATGATATTAGAGAGGATTCCTAAGTTATGTTTTTATTTTCACCATTTTTATCATGTAATATTTGTTTTAAGGATAATCAAAGTGATTTTTAATTATGTAGGTATAAGAAAAATGGATGATCGAAAGCTAGATCTTTCACATGATATTAGGGAGTACCCCTAAAATTTCTTTTTAACTTTCACCAATTGTTCATATGATCTTTGTTTCAAGGGAATCAAAGTTATATCAAATGATCTAGATGTAAAAAGAAAAATGACAGATTATCATGATTTGATTTGGATACAACCTTTAGTTTTTTAACCCTACACCTCGGACACAGTTTTGCATACTTCATTTAGAGATGTTTTAAGATATAGAATCAACAGTTCCCTAATACATCTCTTTAAATACCAGACTTCAATGGAAGTGTGTAGACTCCAGATAAGCAGCAAATATTAGCTTCAAAATTAGAAATACTTCACCTAAGTATCTAAAAGGCACGTGAATGTGTTGTCCTATTGTTAGTTTTATGCCCCCTCATTTCACAAATTTCTTGAATGACTTGTCATTTTATGAAGAAAAGATTATGATAGAAGAAACAGTTGTTGGACAAAAATGATGTCCTACAAAATGATATCAAAGAATGGATCCAAATACCATTGTAGTTAACTCCCTGTGATTGTCATTTCTTTGATGAAACTTGATAGAGAAATTCCCAACAAGTTGCCATCATGTGACTAAATTCCAATAAATCCATGCAAATATGTAGGCATCCATGTGTGACTCTCACATCAAATTCCACAAAATATTTTCTTAAAAAAAAAAAAGGCTTCTCAAAAAGGTGAATAGCTGAAGATATCAGGAAAATCAGTTTGTGACTATGTTACATGGAAACTAGTTCAAATCAGCTCTGCTATACTATAGAGATTCTTGCCTTTTAGTGTCAACAGGAACTATGGATAGTTGTCGCCTCTATTCTTGTGCAACTTTTTCAAAGTCGCCCACAAAAGGATATTCTGCTGCAATGTCATCATCACCGTCATCGTCATCATCACCACCATCACCATTGCTATTATCATCGTCATCGGACACAAGATACAATTCATTAACCGTTCCATCAAGGTGTTCTTTCATGGCATCTCTCACCAGTTCCTTGGCTTCCTTTTGTTCCTCTGGTGTTTTTGCCAGAGACTAGAAGATATTCTTTGCTTTTTGGTCAGGCATGCACCCATTGGACTCCATCTCCTTGTACCATACAATGGCACTTCCCAAATCTTGCTTGCCATAAGAATTGTAAAGATGGTCTCATTTGCCTTGATCCCATTCATCCTCATCTCATTATATATAACCAGCATCTTCTCTAGATTGTTCTCTTTGGCTACCTTTCATGAGTGTTCCATATGTCACTATATTGGTTTCAAAACCATCGCTCTTCATTCTCACGAAGAACTTCTCTGCTCCCTCCATATCAGATGCATTCACATATGCAGCTAACATGGTGGTATATGAATGTAGATCAGGGTGGCACCTGGAGTGAGAGAGAGAGAGAGAGTCGAGCATTAATAGGGTCGATCAATCATGGATTGATGCTCATGCAAAACAGAAATTAAATGAGAAGAAAATATTACTTATCTCTTCTCATGCTTTTGAACAGAGTCCTAGCCTCCTCTACCATCCCAGTTAAGGCGAATGTGTTAAGTAGAATAACATATGCTTTACGAGTTGGCCTGAGAAGACAACAAGGGACAAATGGTAACATTTCAATAAGGTGCAAAATCGCAAAGATATGACAGTACCAAGTTGTGGATTCCCTTCTATCTGGGCTGCTGTCCAATCGAAATATGCATAGGCTGTCAAGTGAAGATCTTAAGAGAACTGCACATGAAGCCCTCATGCCATGCATTGACAAATGCATTACATGATAAGAAGGCAACCATCAAGAGAGATATCTGAGGTGACTGAAGGGACTGATTACATGACTTGCATAACAGACATTGATTCTTGAGATAGCGACACAATTCTACAATACAAACACTTGTATATGTAGTCTATCAGAAAGGTAAAACTATACTCTGTTCATGCTGAATATTCAGCTTGATAAGTGTATCGATCACCTCATTATTTGTAAGTTGAACTCAAGATGCTCATGTGTTGCCATTGAATGGTGAGGATAACATAATTGTGGTGAAGAGCTACAAGCTCAAAGAAATAAGAAAGCTATAGCCTGGATGCTTCATCAGAACGTATTGTTCTTAAATATGTTGAGACGATTTTCCCCTTTTGGCAGTTCATTAGACGAAACTGATAAACCAAGCACATGGAGCTTGCTTGAGACAATAAAGCACCTTCCATAGACAAATAAAGTAGAGATCGTGACGCAGTTTAAGATTACCGATGACTAGCACCCAGCAAAATAACCGCGTATCAGAGAGATAAAAAACAAAAACAGAAATCACAAGCAGGAATTTTGGTGAATGAAAAAAAAAAAGTGATTTTTTGCGATCGTGGAAAGAGAAAACCTATGTAGGTCTTTTTTTCGTTTCTTGTGCTTGTGGGCCCGTAGCTTAGATAGATCTGAAAATCAAAAGTGAGTGATCTTGGAGCAAAAGGCATTTTGGATAGGCAAAATAAAACTCAACACTCAAACTAGTTCCAGTGCCATAATAGCATATATATTCAGAGAATAATTACAGGAGAGAAGATTATTGATATGCATTGGAAAAAGAAACAACGGCAAACAACATCAAAGCCTATCAATTCTCATATCTGGTTGATATATATTAACTGCACAATGATAATGCATCCGAAAAAGAAATGGAGTTGGAAGTACTAAAAATAATCCATCTTTTGCCGAAGAAGTGCCTTGTGTGCTCTACAAGACTATCACACATGCGATTTTCTTTTTAATATTTTTGGTAAACATCAATAATTTCTAATGAGATGATTCCCAATGAAAAACTGTCATTTGACTTTTATTTTGTTTCAGTCTCATGGCTAGGATGTCAACCATACATTGGATCATCATCACCATCATCATTATATTATTTGAGATCGGCTTAAGTTTTGACAAAATTTTACATTGGCTGTCAACCTCAAACAACCTAGTCTTTTTTTACCCAAGCATGAGATAAGCTTAGGGACAATTTAAGATCATCACCTTTTTAGACCAAAGTCTAAAGGCTATACATTGGATAATCGATGAAATTTTAGTGGCTATAACTTGGATAATAGATGAAATTTTGCCCCACTTTTCAATAAGTTAGGTCCAACTTCTATTTTAGTTGGCCCAATTTGGTCATTGCCTCTATTAAAACTATTTTTGTTGAGAGGAGAAATACTTCTAGTGAAAAGATTTGTAACTCCTAGGCGAGCATACTGCATATTCCCTTGGGGTAAAACTTCATGTTCGGAATATTTTTTGGACCTTAAGTTTTTGGAATGCAGATTTAGAACCTAATAACCAGCCCCAAAGAAAAGAAATAAATAAATAGGATCCTCTATGTGTCTAAACAAAAAAGAAATCAATGCCCCGAGATTAAACAAGAACTGTTTAATCTTCAAAAAGTGAGATCTAGGTGTTCAAGAACTTAAAAAATAAATTTATTTCCTTGAAAATATTCATTTAACCATATTTAGATGGATCTCAAACTTTTGGAACATAAAAATCTTTCCATGTTACTCTTTTGCCTAAAGGAGTTGTTGTACAGCATACTCCCGCAGGTGCGTTCCACTTGCGTTCATATTTCCATGCATGTTTATGGGTAACAATTGTGAGCGTGAAGGCCCAAATCGAACCATACGACGGTCAACATTCACTGACATAGAGGGTAAGTTTTAGTCATTAGTTTTTGGAAAAAGTTCAAACAAAGTGGCCACTTAAGGTTCGCCTATGAAATCATTCCAAAAAGGAAAAGGTCTATATAAGTGTGAGACTCTAAAAAAATCAAATTAAGGTGGATCTCACAAATTTCACTTGAAGAGGTTGTTTTGATGTCCAGAAATCTTTAAATTGATCATCTCAACCTCAAAATGCATGGACATGAGAAAAAATATATTTTAAGTTTTGGAAATAATGCATCTTGTAATGCATTTTTTGAGCGTCAAGTTTCAAGATTTTTCAAGTGTTCGTAGATGTGCTTGATCTACAGTAATTTTGAAGCTTTAAATTTTATAATTAAAGATAGAAAATAGATGTTCAGGCCAAAATAAAGATTTCCGGTATTGAAACAAAATCTTTTAATACTATTTGAAGGTGAGCCTCGGCCTTATAAAAACCACATCCTTCGATAGAAGAGAATAGAATAGAGAATCATAATTCATGTAACAGATCTCAATTAATTAGAAAAAAGCTAAAATGATGATGATATAGATGTACTTGATTTGAACCATTTTTAGAGTTTAAAATTTTATAATTCGAAATAAAAATATATCTTCGCACCATCCTAAGAATTTTTTATACTTAAATTGCATTTCATGACAATGTTTGGAAGTGCACTTTACTTTGATTGTTTAACGTTGTAACCTTATGCAAACCACACCCTTATTTTTGGTGTATTTTTTTATGGAAGACACTATGTAATGCCTATGGGTGAAAATAAACAGTGTTTTCGCCCATAGGCTCATCACCGTCCAAAAAAATCAAGTGGCGTGTATTTTTCGACCGCAACAGACCTAACATGTTTGTGGTGGAACCGTTACGGACATACTAGGTCTATGACGGTCAAAAAATCACGTGAAACCATTCAATAAACCACTACAGACATAGCAAGTTTGTGGCTGTGGCGAAAAACGGTAACATTTTACCTACAGGCGTTTTTAATATTTTTCGTTTTTTTATATATTTACTATTGGTGGGTGCATGTCAAGTGCACGCCACCCAAAAATTTTAGATAAAAACGTCTTATAAAAAAATATTAAAATAAAATAGCATGAAAATACATAGGTTTTTCAGATATGGTAGATTGAATATGAGGTGTTAGTCCTAGTTTCATAAGCAGAGGGGTCACAAACATATGCTCCTGTATATTTATACATATATGGGAGTGGAGCTTGAAGTGAAACTTGGAAAAAGGAAAAATTATTGAATCACCCCCAGACAAACTATACTCCCTATAATGCCTAGTACAAAGTCTCATACATCAATTACCCTGAAAAAGTTTTCTTATTCATTGACTAGTGAACTTTGCCTCAGAATTTATACTAAAATTCTCTCATTAAGTGAAAAATCATCTCCTTCTGTTTAGGGGTGGCAACTGGACTATGGGGGTTCCAACTCTTGGACCCATGCCCGGACCCAGGTCGGGTTCGGACCCGGGTCTAAGTCCATTGCCACCCTACTTTCTCTCTTTCTAAGCCCTCCTTCCCCTTCACTCTCTCTCTTGCATCTCCAAAGAAGAAAATCTTTGCCCCTTCTTCTCTCCTCCACCGCTCTCTTAATCCACGTTTTTGGAGTTGATAGCCCCAAGTAACCCACCAATCAATTTCTGAGCCGAGTATTCGGGTAAAAGTAGGGGTTATTACAAAATTATCAAAAATTTCTTAAATTATAAAACCAACATATAAGTTTTTATATGTAATTTGGATTTTTCTTACGGTAATTTGTGAGTTGTTATTGTCATATAAAAAATGTATTAAATTATAAAACCAATGTATACGTTTTTCTATGTAATTTGGATTTTTTATGGTAATATTTTACTTGTTATTGTCATAGGTCCTTTTTTATATATATTTTCTTTCTTTTTTTTGAATTTTTTGACGTATCCCTAACGTTTGGACTTTCATATTTAGTTCTCCTAAATTCATGTTTTACATTTTTTTTTAGCTCATGTGGATTTTTTATGTTATTTTTTGTTTAGTTTGGTTTTTATATGTAATTTGATTTTTTATGTTATTTTTTGTTTAGTTTGGTTTTTTTGTTTAGTTTGGTTTATTTTAACTTTTTTTTTTTTATCTTTTTTTTTTTTGTTGTTTTTTTTTGGCAGGGTACATGCCTATTGGACTTGTCCTCTTTTTTTTCTTTTTCTTTTTTTCTTGACAATATTCCATACTTTTTATTAATCAATCAAGAATGATCAAGATCATAACAACACGGTTACATAATCAGCAACCGCCAAAGAGAGAAGCTGTACACAATCTTTTAAGCCGCCGCCCCATTTTCAAATGTTGCTTCATCATTCGAGCGCTTTATTCCTGCAGCCGCCTTGTCAACCTGAAAAAGAAAAGGAAAAAAATATAAAAAGTTATTAGAGGTTATTATAGAAGAGAGAGTAAATTTAAATAATTTACCCAAAAAAGAGAATAAATTTAAATAATGTGAACTTATGAGAGAGAGTAGATATAAACAAAGTGAGGTTAAAAGAGAGACTAAATTTAAACAATGTGAGGTTATTAGAGTGAGAGTAAATTTAAATAATGTGAGGTTAGGAGAGAGTGTGTGAGTGAAGGAAAATGGATTGATAGAGCTGTAACTCTATCAAAATTAGTAAAGCCTCATCTCATAACTCATTAAAAATTACATTTTAAGCATTGAAAAACCATTACATCGTTTATCTTGGTTTGAATAGAAAAAACTAGGATTTTAAACTCTAAAAATATATATATTGTAATTGTTGGATGCCCCATACCATTGTGGAAGGGGAAATTGTCCTAAAGGGTAGTTTTGAAAAGTCAAAAAAAATTACTCATTGACCAAGCCATCTTCCCCAAATAAGATCTCAGGTGATGATGGTTTTGTTGGGGTAGAGTTTCTTCTCTTATCTATTAATTAAAAAGGGATAGAAAGGTTACGAGATACTCATCTCATTGACCTATATAAAATGTGAAAATATGGGCGTTTAGGTTTTTTTTAGTTTGTGTATTCCTCTATTGAATGTGAGATTTTTCTTGGTGTATTAGAAAAATATAGAGAACATTTTCTTATAGAGAAGAAGAAAAGAGAGAAAGTTACAATGTTTTTAAAGAGAGAAGAAAGAAGAAAAGAGAGAGTGAGACCATTTTTTTCAAAAAGAGAGATAAAACCTCTAGAAAAGAACAAAAAAACATCTAACAGATAAAAGAACCTCAGAGAGAGAGAGAGAGAAAAGCTTATGGAAGAAATCAGAGAGTCTAAAAAAACTTGTTTCTTAAAAAAACATTGTAACCATAATTTTTATAGTGGATTTGTTTCTTTTTTCCCATGGACATAGACTCAAAAGGTAAACGACGTAAAATCTCGATGCCAATAAGTTATTTACTTTATTGCAATTTTTTTCTACTCATACACACATATCAATTTTGGCATATATTTATTCCATATATCCATCCTCATTCGTGCAAGATGGCTCTCAATTGGGTGAGCCCAACAGTAACAAATTATTTAGACCGCCATTTTGCCCTAAATATAAGTGTTAATAGATCTACAAGATCTTTATTGATTTTTTAGTTTCAAATTTAATTTCGTTGCCAAAAGTGCTTTCCGGACAAGGATTTGAGATGAGGCTTTATTTTGGTTTCATAAGCCTTATGGAAACCAATGTGAGATTATTTTTTTGGTTTACAGGGGGAGGAGACAGAGTAAATATAAATAAGGTGAGATTATTAGATAGGGGAAGGTTTCTATGCTTCCCCTACAACATAGAAATTCTATCCTCTCCCTACCATCCAACCATCCAATTTTGATCAAGAGAGTCACTCACCGTTTGATATTAGATCCGATGTCTCAAAATATTTTATTTTTAGTTTTTTTTTATACAAATTGTATGAATATGAAATTTGGTACATGGAATCTTCTCATTGGGGCACATCTATAAAAAATATTTAAAATAATTTTTTGATAAAATATAATGACTAAAATACCCATTGAATCTTTCAAGGGTATTTTGGTTATTTTATTTTATTGAAAATATTTTTTTTATATTTTTCACTAGCGCAAGTTTAATAGAAGAATGGACGGCTAAAATTTGGTGTTAAAATGGTTTATAAAAAAAAATTTAAAATATAATAGTATAGAGACGTGACATTGAGATTGGGGCAATCTTAGCCCTCTATTCAGAATGGACAGTTGGATAAAGGGAAAGATAGAACTTCTGTATTGTAGAGGAATCATAAAAAGCTTGCCCAATAGATAGAGTGAGAGTAAATTTAAACAATGTGAGGTTACTAGAGTGAGTAAATTTAAACAAAGTGAGGTTAAGAGAGAGAGTTTAAACAATGTGAGGCTGTTGGAGAGAGAAAGAAGGAAAGGATAGGGGATTGTTTTCATTCTTGGATGGTCGGATTTCTCATTGGAAACAGGCAGAAGAGAGAAAAACTTTGAAATCATGCTTACTACTAGATTTACCTCTTTATCCCAGTTGGTCCTGGCTGTTAGAACAATAAGAATTGCAGTTTGTAGTCCCACTCCATTAATCAGCCCCCACCAAATCCCCAGTCCAAATTGAATTAAAAATAAAAAGTAAATAAATTAAGAATAAAAGGAGAATTGAACATAAAAATAAAAGTAGAATTCATCAAAATATGTCGGATTTATCAAGTATTTTACGTTCTATCCATTTTCAATTATTCCAATAAGTTTTTTTAAATTAAATCAATGAGATCAGGTAAAATGTTAAATAGTTCATCTAAAATGTGTATATTAATAAATTTAATAAAATAAAATAAAAATAAAAATTAATATGCATTAATTATTTCTCAAGTTTTTGTATGCCAACTTACAGCTTCATCTAGTTCAGTCTTAAAGCCAAGAAAACATCCAATGGGAAGGCCAATTAGGTAATAAGTTGCCAAATTAACATAGGCCACCAAGGCTTGCCATCCACAACCAATAGCAACTCCTGCATTAACAAATTTATAATTCCTTAGCTGGTCTTTATAGTAAGCTAAAAGATTATATGTCGGAGCATATGTATAGTAATTGTATGCTATAAAACCATTTATTTTTAGTTTAAGAAGATCACAATCACTTTCAGCCATTGGATGTGATATCTGAAAGCTATAGTTGTATCATATAATTCGAGAAAATTTATTTGATTTTTGTACCTAACCAGTTGCACACCCTTAGCTAAAATTTATATCTAATGATCAATGTCATTGTGACCTCCTTGTGTCAAAAACATACAATCTTATTGGATACTTTTTCCATAGTATATTTACTCCCTTGGGTAAAACCTTGTCTAGGTGTAACTCTATGGCACAAAATTTTGGGGCCGTAACCTCCTAAACCATGCAACAAACATAAATAAAAAAGAAAAAAGAAAAAAAAGGACAAAAAGAAAAAAGGTGAATAAATTGATACACGTTCTCCATGTACTTGAGGAAAAAAGCTTTCAAAAAGATTGAAGAGAGACCATCCAATTTTTAAACAATCATGCATTAGTTCTTAAGAATTCGTAGGTTTTTTTTTCACTAGTAACTCTAAACTGGATCCCAAAATTTGACATCTATAAAGTCCTCTCTTTTGCCTGTTAAGATAGTTAAAGTGTATTTTTTAGAAATTAGAGAGAGAGAAGAGAGAGAAAGAAAGAGATAGAGAGAAGAGGGAAAAGAGAGAGAGAAAAAAGAAAGAGTGAAAAGAGAGAGAGAGAGTGAAAGGGAGAGAGAGGAGAGGAGAGAGTGAAAGGGGCCACATGAGCATATCTCTAATGAAGCTGTCGACTACTAAGTTTATGGGAAAATTACAAATAACTTCAAGACTAGACTTTTTAGGCAAGTTACCTCCAATCAAATTTTTGTTTCTCATTTTTTTCCTAAAATACATTTTTCTAGCAAATACCCCAAAGTATAAAAAAAATACATTTTTTGACAAAAATACCCTTTTTTGTATATAAAATTTAATTTTGACTGGACATTCACGTGTGCTTACATGGGTTGTCGGATCGCTTTTTGACATTGCTAGACCCCATCAAACTAAAAAAAGTGTCGGACCGCTCTTTGACATTGCCTGACCGCAGTTTGGGCCTATTGCCGGACCGCTTCTTGGTAGTATCAGACACATGGGCCTATTGCCAGACCGTTCTTTATCAGTGCTTGACCACCACTGTTATTTACTGAACTGACATTACACTGCTAAACCACCCAAAGAGTACGCCGGACTGCCTTTTTGTGGGACTGAGGAGAGAGAGGTGTGGGTAAAAGCCAAGGAGGGCAGTTTAGACTATTTTTTATTTTTTATTCTGTGTATTTGTCAAAAAAGTATACTTTGAGGTTAAAAGTGAGAAAAAATTTGATGTACCTTGCATAAAAATTCTAACCTTACGAGTTATTTGTAATTTTCCCTAAATTTATCTCTCCCAATTTATTCTCTTATTCACTACAACAGTCTAATGGCATACATTCCGATATTGCCCTTGATGAGTCAAAAGTGGAAGTCCTCTCTCTCATGGACGGACTTTACTAACAATAAATACTGAAAGCCGGATGTAAAAGATATATGCATACACAAGCTTGAAGGATTTGTTAGTGTACCAGAGAGAATGGGTTGTGTTCCATTAAGGAGCACGGATAATGCAAGAAGAGGAGTCATGGTTTGAACAGCCTCAATCACTTCATCAGAACTAGTGAAGGCTAAACTCAATGGTCTCTTCAACACCAAAACTGCAATGCTCAAAATCAAGCTGATAATAAAACATGTAGTTGTCACCACCACCACTGAGAATTTTGCGGTTCGCGGCCTCTGCGCCCTGAGCTCGTTCCCGACTCGGATGCTGCAAATTATTCTTTATATCAACAAATAATTTACAAGTTTTCCACCCGCATAATACATATATACATACATATACGTACATATATGCATATATACATAAATAAGGCATGCAGCCCAAGAATAACATGTGTATGTATTCCAACTTGAGATATTAAGCAAAGTTGTGAAGGGCAAGGTTTGGTCTGGCTCCACTTGACACTTGACTTGGACCCAACAGAGTCTAGGTCTACTTGACCTAGGCCCAACTGGGTCTCGATCATGTCCTGGACTAACATGGTCGGGTTGTAGTCCACCTAATCCAAGTTTAGAGTTCACTACTTTATTGGTGAACTTCGAATTTCCTACTCCAAATGTTTCCACTATAAAATATATTTTAAAAATAAACGCTAAATTAAAGTAATTCCTTACTTTTTTCTTATTAGTGCCTAGATTTTGGAAATAATTTAGAATAATAAATATAATCTTTATTAAAAAATTTAATAATGAAAATTTTTAGGACTAGAAATTTCGAAGTTCACAATCACTGGAAGGTAGCAAAAAAACCCGACCAGGTGAAAGTCAAATTGCCTCGGGATGCCTGTTTTCACCGTTTAGAGAAGGGGAATTTTTTTTTTTTTGGGTAAGTCAGTGAGAGAGAAGGTCTCTATCCGATTTTCATTAATAACTAGAGAGAAGGAGAAACTTAGGGTAGGGGAACTTAAATATAGGTAGGTATCATACATATATCAAATATACACGGGCAAAAACAAATTATGGGAGATTCTATAATGCATATATACCTTGCTGCATAACTTATGCCCAACATGAGCATCATATCCCAGTTAAGGTAGTTCATACTGTATAATTGAAACAATCAAGAGTATAAGTTGTCTAACATGTACATTTATTATAAAGAATTGTATACAATGAGACCATTTACTTTTAAAATAGGGAGGTCACAATTACTTACAATCATCCAATGTGAAAGTTGATACTTTGGGTGTATCACAAGTTCAAGAAAAATTCTTTTTAACTTTGAGCTTGGTCAATGAAATAAATGCAGCCACCCAATTTCCCATCCAGTGGTCAAGATGTATTGTGACCACCTTACACCAAAGATAAATAGTCTCATCATATACTTTCCCATAAAATAAACAACAAACATGTCACCCATTAAATCATAATTTTAAAAAATAAAATCCACCTTTCAAATTCTAGATTGGTTCCTTCACTTCTCTCTCAATTTTTAAATTAGAAAAAACAAGAGTTAAACATGAACAATAGGAAATTAAGTTAAAATGAAATAAACAATACAATAAAATTAAATTTGTAAAAATTAAATAAGGGTAACTAATCATAATATACCCAACTTATCAATTATGTAACATTTTACCCACATTCAACTATTCCAACTCATTAATCTTGATTACATGTATTTTGATTCGGATCTTTTCCAATTTAATTAAAAAATGGATATAATGTGATGCATTTTGACAAATTTCCATATTAAATACATTTTCTTTTCTTTTGTTGCCAGAAAGAGAAAAAAAAAGAAGAAAGGAACTTACCAAACTGAAATGGAATCCAAGGATACTTCTGCATTAGGTAGGAGTCCTGAGATAAGCACCAACCCTTGAGAATACCATATCTCCAAGCTGCAAATTGAAAATAATTTTATATTAATTGTTTTATCTATCAACATAAAGAACAATTTTAATTCAAGAACCAGCCATAAATTAGAACACCATTTCTCAGGGCAATATTTTATTTCGAATGCGTATAGAAAAGTCACGGAGGAGCGTACTATACATTTACTCCCTCAGTCAAAGAACATGATTTTTTATCCAAAATTTCTTGAGATCCACTTCAGAATCAATATCTAAGTATTTCGAAAAAATAAAATAAAATTAGATTTGTATTCCAAAACTTTTAGATCGAATTGTCCAAAAATTTTGAATTGTAACAATCACAATAGCCATCGAGGCAAATGAGCAGATGGGGGATTTGCCATTGATGGCACTTGAAGTTTAAGAAAGTTTTTCTCATACTTTGTGAAACAGCGCTAGGCCAATGATTTTGTATTTGATGGGTAAGGGTGTAACCTTTTTATCTTAAAGGAAAGTAGTCTCACAATATATAATCTTATGTTTTTGCAAGCTCTATATTTCTAATTTTAAAAGAAAAAGTATATAAAGAGACCATTTCTCATGTCCATCAGGTTTTAAGTATGTCATTGACTAGACTTAAAGTTCAATAAAAATTTCTCGAACTTTATGTTAGGCCGCAAGCTATTCAATTTAACATCTAATGGCTTGTATCAATTGTGACTTCTATCTAACAAAGATAAATGGTCTCATGGTATATAATCCTAAAATAAAACTATTAATCCTCATTTTGATGTTTAAAAATCTAACTACTAGGTTTTACTCCCTATAATAAGAGGAGATATCCCAGACTAGGGTGTTTCAAAGTTTGATAGTGCCTACCCTAAAAGATAAAATAATAGTAATAAAAAATAAAAATAAATAAATATGGCAGCTAAGGTGGGGTTTTTAAACTTCCTTCTCGGCTTGGTGGTATATAGGGTTCTCATTTCAACCTCTAATAACAATGTTGGAAATCCCAAAAAACATTTTGTCTTGGGTAGATTCCTGCAGTATTCCCCATTTATTTTGAGGGCCTTAAAGGGCATTTAATAACCTTAAATTTTGGCACAAACCTTATTCTTGCTATGATGAAGAAGGTGAAGAAAAATAGGGATTATCTACAAAAATGCCATTTATCTTTTGTACTTGGATATCATAATCATTTCCACTCATTTGATATCAAATTGGATGGCTTGGTGAGTCACGAAATCCAAGAATATTTTTTTAGAATTTTGTACCTATTTAATGACATTCTTACGAATGCTTACTTTGAAATTTAAGAGACAAGAAAAATTGAGATCTCCATGTACGAAAAATAAATAATTTCTTTGTAGATAATCTCAGAGAAATAATTTAAAATACAACTCTTTTTGAATTCGAGGATCAGAGGCTGTCCATTTCATAACTGGCTATATCTAGCCTTTCAAGAACTTGAAATCGATCTCTTATTTTCCTAAATTCGACTATACAAAATTTGTGGGTTAAACAAGTACCCTAAGGCATTGATTTACATCATTATTTCTTTTTTTAAATGGACGGTTGATATTCACTACATTTTGTCTCTCTTAATACGTGATTGTTTGCAGGAAAGAAAACTTTTCGAAATATAATGTTTCTCATACTGTAACATTTCCGTGTTTGGCTATGCGGGAACTGCTATAGTAGTGGGAACCCCAAATTTCCCCAAAGTTTCTTTTCGCCTTTTAAAATGAGACGTTTTAAGTTCCCGGGAAGCCTTGGAACCCAAACTTTCCAAACATATTCACAATATAACTATTTACAATATAATATAGGGAAAATATATTCATACTTTTTATTTTTAAGTTTTATATCTCAATAGACCCAAAGTTTCAAAACATATATTGGGTCAAAAAAAATTTGAGTTTTATATCTTTATTTTAACCCCTTAAGTTAATTTTATCCACTTTAAACTTATTTTTTTGCCCCAAACAAATATAAGAAATACATATCAATTCTAAACACCATCATTTTTTTCTCTCTACGTGAATATATCACGTAAAGAAAGAACGAGTTCAGAATGAACATATCTTTTTTATATTTGTTAAGGCTAAAAAAATAGTTAAAAATAATAAAGTTAGTCAAAGAGTTAGGAGATACATTTTGAATCGGTCTATTGAGATAAGAAAACCAAAATAAAGGGTACGGGGATATTTCTCCTATAATATATTATATAATATTTTATTTATATATTAAACAATATATGTATAATATATCCACCCTAATACATAATACTTGTATTATTAATATAATATAATATAGTGTAATTATAATATTACATTATAATATTATATTATATTATATTATAATTATATTATATTATATTATATTATATATTTATTTTATTAATATAATTTGTTTTATATAATATATTTATTATATTCTATATAATATATAAATATCATATATATTATATAAAATGCAAGTTTAGTAATAATAGGTGTAGAGATGAAGAAGTAGCTAAAATTAACGGTCAGGAAGTATAAAAAGACTGCACTTTTGATACCTTGGGTCGATAATCTAGGAAAATTGAGAGATTGGGAAAGATGTTGTAGATAGAATTATACGAATGAAGCAGAAGGGCAAGTTCTATAGAACAACTGTGAGACCACCTTTGCTATGTAGGGCAGAATGTTGGGCGAACAAAAAATAATATACCCATAGAATGAGTGCAGCGGAGATGATGATGTTGAGATGGATGAGTAGCAAGACAAAAAGGGATAAAATTCAGAATGAATCCATTAGAGAGAATTTAGGTGTGACAGTAATAGGAGATAAGATGAG